GTGAGGATTAAGCGGTGTATAGATGATGGATGATGTGTGGGAGGAAAATGGGGGCAAATAGTGAACCTGATCTAGTTTTGAACACTGTTTTCAGCTCTGAGAGAGTAGAACTTTTTGGACAAGTTTGTGAACAGTTTGACTTCACTTTTTTGCTCTTTTGTTGAATGTGTATGTTGGTGATTTCCTAGCTGTGTTTCCCCTTTCATTTTTCAGAAAATGCAGAGCCTGCAGAGCTGAAACAATTCTTCGACCTGAATTATTCCCATATCTACTATGTCTTCTTTGAGAACTTTGTCACCATTGAGGTCAGCCTCAAGCAAAAAGGTATGTTTTACTCATGGTCAAAGTTAAAAAAAAAAAGAAGATCCTTAACAGGGGATTCTGTTATAGGTATAAATATACCATTGCAATAGCAGCTATGTTATTGTTCTACTCATCCCTATTTTTCAGGTCATAAGTCCCAGAGGGAGGAGCTAGACTCGATCCTCTTCATTTTTGAGGTATTGACATCTGACAAATCTCTGTTTAATGGCTGAGTATGATAGTTTTTTTTTTTAAAATATTGTGAAGTTTAATTTCATTGAGTATATGTGACATTTGCTGCTTGCTACTCATGGTATGTAACAGGAAGGTCTTACTAAAAGCAAATGTTGTGTTTTTTGGGGGGCGTTTACAACATTTAGTCCTGCAAAACTGCAAAAAAACATAGATTCATGTAGATTATTGATGACTAAGGACTTTGATAAATTTTATTGGGGATTTTTGTGTGTGTTTTTAACATTTTTGCCATAGTGACAGTGGACAGAGACAGGAAATGTGAGGACAGGGAGCAGAGGATTGACATGCAGTAGAGGACCTGGGCTAGCTTGGAATTGAACTAGGGACTCACTATTTGAAGGAATTTGCTCTCATGTGGTATGCACCCTAACCACTCGGCTGTCAGGTCACCCTGAGATAAAAGCTTCACTCTCTCACTGGATTCAGTGTGGCTACAGAATAGAGTCCTGACATTCAACTGATTCACTGAGGTGTTTGTGATTCCAAGAGCTCTAACTTTCTGTAGGTGGTCCCGGTCAGTACCATAACACCAGCTGGCATTTACCTCAGACTGAGACCACTGACATTAACAACATCCAGAGCTGAGTGGTGGTGTTTGAGTAGCCAGGATAAGATAGCTCTGGATGTGTGTGTCTGTTACTGACCTCCATTTGCCCCTCAACAGAGTTAAAATTCTGACCAGGCCTGGGCAAAACACAAGTCCAGTGAGACGTTAGATAAAAGAATGTGCTTAATGCATGTTTTCCTTATGAATTATACGTTAAACTGGGGCTGGGCAATATTTAGAGTTTATAAAGTTGCTTAATTCTTATAAAATGTATGTTTACTTAAGATAGTTATATATCACCATAACTACATAATAAGCTTGTTGCATTTTTCTGAGTCCAGTGAACAACCAACCAACTGGTGAAAACTTAATAATGATTGTTGCGACTGTAGTGATCAGTTTATCTTGATATTCTTCTTTGGTTGAAACGTCAGATAAGGAAAGTTTGCTCATAACACACAACAATAATAAGCATTTAAAAAAAACAATTCTTAAATGATTAAAAAAATGTTTTTTTTTTCCCTTCAGAAAATCCTCCAGCTCCTACCAGAGAGAATCCAGAGCCGATGGCAGTTCCACAGCATTGGTAAAACCAGTCAACCACCTTCTTGAAACAGTTGATTTTGTAGTCAGGTTTAACCAGTTTTGGAAAGTGCGGCCACTCACATTGTTATTTCATGTAATGTGAGAGACCAGCCTGCACCAAAACGTTTTAGATCAGGCCTGCATGCATGAATATTTTCCTTAAGCTGTATTAACGGCATTTTGGTAACTCATTTTCCATATAGGTAGGTAACAGCAGCTGAATACTGCACATTGATCTGACATGTCTTTCTCTCACAGGGCTGATCCTCAAGAAACTGTTGCACACTGGGAACTCTCTAAAGGTACTGCTCTGAGTCGTTGACACTGGCCCAGTCCCAGTCTCCACCCTAAGGCCTAAGCACTAAACCCTCACAGACTTAACTGACATCACAGCTGTAGTGCTTGAGTTTGTGAGGGCTCAATATGGTATAAAACAGAGGAATGGGAAACACCATCATCACAGCACGTGTTGCTTGGAAACAATATTTTGCCATTAACAAAGAGTAACGATAAGCAGACTCGAAAAAGGGCGCTCAATGGTGTAGAAGTCAGCATCCGACCTCTCAAACACTCGACGTTTTGATAGTGGGACGGCCCTAAACCCTTACATACTTACTGAAATCTATGGATTTTGCGTTACCTGTCAGTCATAGCCCCATGACCCAGCTCCTCCCTTCCCCACTAAAAATACGTATATAGTTGCAATTTCCAAGTCCTAAGTTTAAAAAAAACTTAAAGCTGCAAGTAACACCAACTAACGTAGCTTCTCTTCTATTCCTCTTTTCCCCCTCCTTTGTCTATGTTGTAGATCCGTCGTGAAGGTGTGCGGTTGTTCTTATTGTGGATGCAGGCATTACAAAGTAATGCAGAGCGTGAGCAGCTCTGCATGTTTGCCTGTTTGATTCCTGGGTTCCCAGCTCCACTCTGCCATGGAACTCCACGCACCCTGGATACTCTGATCAACCCACCGCTGACTTTGACAGAGAGTTAGTGGAATAAACACAAACACATGCACATGCACATACACATACACATACACATACAGTGGCATTTAACTAATAAATACGTGTAGTATTCAACTTTCATGGAAAAAAATAGCTGGTTACTCTTTTGATGCACCTTTGACATGGTATGATGTCTTGGACAGGATTTGAAAACCTGCACATTTTTCCACAGAGTTTTTAAAGGGAGAAATATTTGAGAGTAATATTAAATCCATCCACTTTTCCTCCCTACAGCTCAGGTGACCCCTGAAGAAATCACTCCACTGGTTCCTCCGCAGTCAGGTGACAAGAACCAGGAAGACCTCACTGCTTACTTTCTAGAAGCTCTATTGAAATACATGGTAAACCAGGTATTATCATCATTCTTTACTAACACAGTTAGCACAACATAATTACACTGCTGGAAAAGTTGCAATGCCTTACTAATGCCACTAATGTTGAACACATTGGAGAAGGCAGGTATTGGGTTCATCAGTCACTGATTGTGCCATTTACAGATATGGTGGTAGATTAAGTATTGATCCTTTACTGGAATCATTAACCCTCTAAAATACAAACTGCATCCCCTGCTGGCACACACTGACTTTGCGCTTGTATTTAATGTGCTTGCTGCCATCACACACATGCATGCAGCTGTACAGACACTGATAACATTCTCCTCTGGAACAATGGTGCTCTTCTCTGCTTGACCCTAGTCTGTGTGCGTAATGTTCTCTTTTAACACAAGCTTGTTTGTGTGTGTGTGTGTGTGTGTGTGTGTGTGTGTGTGTGCGCGCGTGTTTGTGTGTATCGACCAGGCAAAGTCTCTCGAGTGGCGGTGTAAAGAGAACCATGAACGTGGCTTCAGCTTCCTCTTTGGTCACTTCAGGAAGTTTTACCTTCCTCACATCTTTCCCAACTTCGCTATGGAAACCAGCCTCTACAACCCCATGCTGGGTCAGTACTATTAAGTCAAGAAGAGCTACTTAATACAGTAAATCCAGAATGCTGTGGAACACATTGCATGAACTAATATTTTAATGTTGTAATCCTACACCACATATAACACAGTATTCCTCTTTCCTGTAGATGTGCCTCCGATGCGCCCTAAGCCATACTACAGTGTGGTGCGCAGAGAGCAGGATGGCGGTGAAATAATGTACTGCACCAAGGAGAGTTTTCTTCAAGCCCGAGTTATCTTTATCCGCTGGCTGGTGTCCTTCTGGCTGGAACCTCGACCCAACACACATACACATATCCCAGGAACAGAAGGAGAGAATGTCCCCAAGAACATACAGGTAAGCAACTTACATATGTTCACTGGTATGGCTTGGCTCTTATTTTGGTATTGTACAATTAGCTCAATGAACCCATACTAATGATGCAGATCTTTTTTTATTAATTGAGTAATCAAGTTTAGTAGAAATGTCCAGGGTCCTATAAAATCATACAAAACTGCAAACAAGTGTCCAAAGCTCCTTTGTTTTCCATTTATTGTCAAGTCTCACTGTATCATCATTCTGATCTCCAGCGAGCAGCTGCCGGACTGGCTGCTCGATCCGCAGGCAGCTCAGACGACAGCGGTGGAGGAGGGCTTCGGTCTGACAGCCACCTGGAAGGAAGCATGGGCTCATCTGGGCCAGGAGGAGGTAGCATGGGGATCTCTGGGGGCCCAGGGACTGCGGGTGAACCTGAACAGAGCCACTCCAACACATCTACACTGACAGAGAGAGAGCCCAGCTCCTCCTCACTCTGCTCCATGGATGAAGAGCAGCTGACAGACATGGAGGTAGTGAGGAGAGTACTGACCAGCTCAAGAACCAACGTCAACTTCATCACGGAGATCTTTCGACAGGTTAAGGAGAATGAATTATTTATCAGGGAGTGGGGACATTATGTAACGCAGCGGTACCCAACCTTTTTTGCACCATGGACCGGTTTCAGGCAAGACAGTTTTCTACAGACTGGTAGACATTACAAATATTAATCATTTATGACGCTTTTTTAATAATTAAAAAACTAATACAGTTACTTTTTATTGCTAAACATGTATTTACTTTTCTTCTGTCTCAGCATCAAGTCTCTCTTTCTATTCAAAGAAGCTCTCCAGAGAGCTTTGTTGTTTTATTAATTTCGGCAAAAGTTAAACTGACTGCTTTGTTTAACAGTGGGGCATGAAAACTGACAGAGTCAAGTACGGGAAACAAGCACAGGCGGAAGTGATGGAGAAGACGAGCTAGTCTTTTTTTTTTTTTAAACACCCTGCAGACTCAGCTGGAAATAAAATAAGCCAATAAAACGTTTTTATTTTTTCTGTACGGCCCGGTACCGGTCTGCAGCCCAGTGGTTGGGGACCGCTGATGTTACGGACAATTTCAATGTGTCACACCTTTGATGCTTGAATGCAGTGTCTGTATTTGGAGTGAATATATGTGATTCTTGTCCTATTTTTCACTATATCCATTTACAGGCCAATGGGTACTGTTCCTGTTTTACATTGGAGGATGCAAATAATAGGCAATATATATTCTTTAAAAAAAATAACCTGTTAATAATTATTATTTTGTTTCCACCTATATAGGCTTTTCTACTTCCCATGTGCGAGGCAGCTGCAATGCGAAAAGTGGTCCGTGTTTACCAGGAGTGGATCTCCATGGAAGACAAGCCAGTGTTTATGAAGGAGCCAGAGGAGGGCCCCTATCCTATAGCCACAGGTGGCAGTCTGGATTCAGGCTCTCAGCTCGGGGACAAAGAAGATGAGGTGAGAAATTTCCTAAAACCAGTAATGTAATTCATTGAAATATTCAAGTAAATAGTAGGCCACGTGAACACATTTTTATGTACTTAAATATGACTTCTAAATGCCCACTTTTTTCCCAAATTCGTATCCTGAGATTTTGTGTTATACATTTTAAGTCTTGAGAAGAATGTTTATAGGGAATGTGTAGGCCTCTGCATTATGATTAAATTCAAGTATAAATTTGTTTATTCTCTTTTTTTTCAGGGAATGAACAAAGTGATTGACAGTGAGTTGCTGGAGTACAGTGTTCATGCTGGTGTTCAGACTACGCTACAGGTATGGTTTCAAGACTGACTTTAAGTGTCTCTCTTTATCTCACTCATGCACACACTTTCACACATGCAACTGTCTCATTCTTGCAGCATCTTGGCTGCTGTTCTTTCTTTACCTTGTGAAATTATCATTTAAGAAAGCTGATTTAAACCACCTTTTTTCATTCTATGCCATTGTCACTTCTCTAGGTATTTATCACCCACTCCTCCAACGTTTTCTTACTGGAACCAGCCAATGATATCAAGATCCTTTTAGAGGAGCATGTCGACATGTGCAAACGAGTCCTGAACATCTATCGCAGCCTTGTAATGCATGAAACCATGGACCAGAAAACATGGTAAGAAAGAAACATAAGCCTATAAAAAAACATGTAAAAAAATACATTTCATTATGATGATGACGTGATGTCATTGTTTAAATGTAAGCACAAGGGTTCCATCACATCTGCTCACCTCTGATTGGTGGTTTAGCTTAAATCTTTGTGCTTGTGTTTGTTTGTAGGGAACAGATCCTACTGGTTCTGCTGAGGGTGACAGAGTCAGTGATGAAAAGGCCTCCATCCATTATGCCTCAGGGCAAGAAGAACAACACGCTGTCAGGCAGACTGGCTGGACCCATCTTTCAGGTATATCACTGTGTATCACTGTTTTTTTCATCAGGGCTGAGCCTAGCATCCAAGCCAGTTGTGTCTGGTTAGTAAAAGTAAATGAATAGGTACACTTATGCAGTCAATTTTTCTTGCTTCTAATGCGCTAAATAATCAAAGTATACAATAATGGTGCATTCATGTGGTTATGTTTTTTTAAAAAGGAGTAATTTATTTAAATGTACAGGCTTGTTTTGCCAAGTATGTCCTTGCTTTGTTTCATCAATTGAAAACTTAAAAAATAATGTCATCCCTTTCTTTCTGTACAGACACTTATAGTAGCCTGGATTAAGGGAAACCTAAACGTCTATATCAGCAGAGAACTGTGGGACGATCTTTTGTCAGTCCTCTCCTCCCTAACCTGCTGGGAGGAGCTCGTCACTGAGTGGTCACTCACTATGGAGACCCTCACAAAGGTACTGATATGTTCCACATTTTCAGTGTTACTACTTTGTAGCAACGATCACTTGTAAAACTTGTTGTGCCAGAAATATGGCTGGACAAATTCAATACAACGTTGTTTTAATAACAGTGAGAACTGTTCAGCAGCTACCATCTGAAACAGTGTGGTAACATGAGCATGGAAGCGTTGAAGCAGTGTTTATGTCTTTGTGTCATAGGTGTTGGCAAGAAACCTGTACAGTGTCGATCTGAATGAGCTGCCTCTGGACAAGCTCAGTGAGCAAAAACAGAAGAAACATAAAGGAAAAGGTTGGTCAGTTTCCAGACACCTTCACAGATCTTGAAAAAAACACGACTTCCTAACAGCAAGTTTTGACATCATCTTACCAGAGCCAGCTGCATCTGTTGAAATCTGTTTATATGTTACTATGATACTGAATCTGTTAATTCATGTGCAAAAGGATTAGGGTTCAGCACAGATATTCCAGCTTACACTTTTAGTTTCATACTAAAATATCATATTCATTAAATTTAAACATTGGTATATTTAGAAAATATAGTAAACATTGATATTTGAGAGAAAATAAAAATGTGTATCACATCTGTATAGTAGGCCTTTGATGCACATATTATCAGCACAAGTTCCAGATCAAAACATCCTCAACTACCTGTGACTGTGCACTGAGAAAACAATATTCTCTCTCAACATCCCTCCATAATTACTGCAGGTATTGGTTCTGAGGGCCAGCGGCAGATTGTGGACCGTTCCTTCTCTAAAGGCTGGAGCAGAGACCAACCAGGTCAGGCAGCAGCCATGAGGCAGCGAAGCGCCACCACTGCTGGCTCACCAGGCATCGAAAAAGCCCGAAGTATTGTCCGTCAGAAGACTGTGGGTTAGTATCCCATATTCTTAGGTGTCTGTCGTCCTTCTCTGTGTAAAAGTTAAAGCCTTAAAAGCTAGAAAATGTTTCTATTAGTTATGTTCAGAGCACTGACTCCCAGACATATGGAAACTGGCTCGCTTGTTGCTGTGTATGAGTCTTCAGCAGAGTGCTGCATTAGGAGAAATCTAGTGCCCTGTCATTCCTCAGTAGACTTTAGAAAGCTCTTTATTCTTCTTCAGTAAATTTTGGGGGATTTTTGTATCTGAATCACCTCTTTGTTTCTTTCCTTCTGCCTGTCCTCTGGCAGGAAGTTTTGGCATATGCTTACTGTCATTCCTCCTCCTAAGTAGAGTCTTGTTTATGCAAAGTCTTCCGCTGTGGCAGGTTGTGTGACAGAAATGGCCACATCACCATATGCACTACAGTACTTAACTTACAGCAGGAAAAAAAAGAACTTGTGATATTGATAGATGATAATCAGGAAAATCCAACTTGGGGATATTTGTAGGATGTCGTGTACTATATTGCCAGAACTGAAATATAAATATAAATTTGTCATGTCAATGTAATTTGTGTCACCACCTACAACTACATGTAATACAGACATAGATTTTCTTAAATTGTTTTTAAAAACTGTCATTAAGGACTTTTTAAAACCAGTCAGATACAGTTCTCCAGCCACTACCAGTTTGCCTGGTCACACTGCGGTATTTGTTTCAGTTAAGGAGGTTCTGCTCCAGCTCTTCATGATGGTACATGAGAGGTGCAGAACACAATTTAAGTATTATGGAAGCCTGACTGACCAAATAAGAGAATACTGTTTGAAGGTTTTATGTTGTGTGGGACCTACAAAGTCAATGTCTGTGTGATAAGCTGCACTTTATATGCTTTAGCTTATCTCACAGTCTCTCAGTCTGCTGTTCCTGTCCTGTAAGAAATTACTCACTCATGCTAACCAACTTTTTGCAGCTGTTTCTGTTACATATCCAACTACCAGTGCATTTAAAAACCCATATACTTGGTCAAACCTGCAGACATATTTTGTGACTACAAGGTAACAGTCTATCAGAGCAGCAAACATTTAGTGTGTCTGTTTGTTGTGGACCTATAAGATTTGAGCGCCAAGCTACCACCAGCCTCTCACTCTCTCACTGTCTTCCTCCAGAGTTAACCCTGTCTCACCCACCTTCCCTGTCTCTTTCCCTCTACATCTGCCCTTGAACCATGCTCTCCTCTACACTGTGCCGTCACCCTCCTGTCTTCTCACTGACTTATAATCTATCATCTTTCTCCCCAAACTATGTCTCTATAACTTGTCTTTGCCCCATAAATAATTGTTTTATTCATTTACACACACACCTACACCTACACACACACACACACACACACACACACACCTACACACACACACACACACACACACAATACCAAATCTCTGCCTCCCAACACCTAAATTAACTTCTTTCATGTCTTTGATCCATTTTACTTACTGTCTATATCTACTTTCTTCTTTTTTACATGTCATGGTTTCATTTTTCTTCTTCACTTGGGCATCCTCATCCATACATCCACCTTTCTTGCACTCACTCTTTTACTTCTCACTTGAACAACACTCTTTTCTTTGCTTTCTTTTTATGTCCTACACTTTTTTCCCCCTTCTTCTCTTTCTCTTCTATCTGTTTTTCCCACTTCTTCAGCCCTGCGTAGCTGCTCTACGGGGGACTCTCTGCTGTCCTCAGCCTTTATTCGCAGTGCTAAGAGTGCTCCTGCTCTGGCTCCGCCTCTTCCTGTCCTCCTCCACCACCACCACCCTTTACTACCCCCCCTTGCAGACCAGCTGGCAGGTACACACACTTTGCACTACCTGTCTGCCTGCCTGCTGCCTGTTCACCTGGAAACTTCGGTAGTCTTCACATCTGCCACAAACCTAAGCCTGTCATCTCTTTTTTTTTGTCAATTTAACTGATCATGTATTGGTTTTTACTGAAGCAACAGTTTGCATGTGCTCCTTCAGGAATCATAGAGCCCTTTCCTAATTCACCTCTAACTAGGATGAGCAAGAAAAAGTTGATGATCAGCAGTGCATTAATTGTGCATGTGACAAATGTAGGGCTGCAGGTAATTATCAATATTTATTAATATGCCAATTATTTGTTTTTATCTATCTGAAAATAGCCAAAAAAGAAAACTTCCCCAACCCAAGAAGACTTCCTAAAATGTTATGTAAAAACAGAAACTTTTCATATTTAGGAAATTGAATCCAGCAAATCAATAGAATTTTTGAGATTAATCTTGCCAGTTGTTTTTTTTAAATCAAAACAAATGGATGATCAAAGCATATCATGTACCACCTGCTTGTAGATCATTTTTAGTTAATTTGAAAATTATAGTGTAAAGCAATATTTTTTAAGTTGACAACTGTTTCAACATACCATTAAACTTAATATGTTAAAGGATGAATGCAATCCATCTCTAAATAACAAAAAAATATATTTTCTTTAGGTAAGATTAAGTTGTTTTTTTCCCTCTAAAATGCTTAATAAACATGTCAAAAGCGATCATAGCCTGGCAGGGCTGGTAAGTACAAGCATGTAAAATAAAGGTTGTTCGACTTTATAGCCATTAGCTGATGGATATATTTGTTTCTATGACACGCTATTGAATACTTAATCACATGTTTGCTTAAGGAATAAAAAGTAATTACACTGGTGCCATCTTACTGTACAACTGCTAAAAGTATGTGCAATTTTTTTTAAAGAAACTACTAAATATTGCCTTAAATTTATATCCTCCACAGTTTGCTTAAATGCCACTTTCATGAAGTTGCTTTGAATAAGCTTGCTGGTGTTGTGTTGAGCCTTTTCTAAGTGGGAGAATCATTAGCAAACCAATATCTAAGAACAACATCCCTCATTGCTACCAATATTTCACTTAATGTTTTGATGTAAATAGGATTTTTTTTTTTTTTTTTACTGGCAGATGGCAACATGTGTCTCTGTTTATGTTGTTCACCTGTCTGCAAGAAACTTGACCTACCTGTTTTCCTGCCTACTTACTGTAATTCTGCATCTTATCTGCCTGCCTGCATACGTGCCTGTCCTTCTTTCATTCCATTAACTTCACATGCTTGCATTCTTTTCTGCCTATTACACACATTTTTTACCTTTTTGTTTCTATGCCCATCCTGTTGATCTTCCTAACAAGGATGTTTTGTGTGAAATTTGATCAGATGTACATTTATTCACGAGGTGGCCATTCAGTTTGACTGCGCCCCCATCTGTTTAGAAGGCCATGGTGACAATTTTACTTGTATATTATTATTGTTACTTTTGGTGTGTGTGTGTGTGTGTGTGTATGTGTGTGTGTGTGTGTGTTGCAGTCTTTTAGAAATGATAACAGCTCTATAAAAGTCTAAGTGAAAATGTATTAAATGGATAACAAAAAGTGTTACAAGCGAAGACAATAGAAACTCCAATACATAATGTTTTCTTAGATAGAGTTTTAAGGGCTGGTTCAGGTTGAGCCACTATGAATCCTGTTCACATTTACAGAGTGACAGGCAAATATTGATTTTGACTTTAAACAAAACAGAAAGTCATAACTCCAACAGTTACCATCCAGAAATACCTGTTTATAATTAAGTTTTTATAACAAGATGGACAAGATTTTGTTCAAAGATACATTTCCACAGCTTGATAAATGGCCACAGGATCTCTGATATGAATAAAGTTTACATTTTCTCTTTATAAGCTATGTCAATGAGCACAATCAGATACAGAACCAGAGATCAGATGGCTTCCGCAGACACTGTTCTTCCATCTTCATTTAAGTGTGTGTGTGTGTGTGTCTGTCTGTGTGTGCGTGCACATTTTCGTGTGTTTATTACCATTTACACTTCCAGTAACTTCTGTTCCTTCTACTTCCTCCAACCACCAGACCTTGAGGACCCGCCAATCACGCTGACATCCCGTAACTCTCGGATGCGCCACTCATCCCAGAGCGATGAGGCCCCTCCCACCTCCTGTTCTGAGGTCTTCCAGGGAGTGGTCTGTGATCTGGATACCCCAGCCCCATCCTCCCTCGCAAGGAGCAGCAGTGCCTCAGACATCATGGAGCCCTTCATCGCAGAGCGGGTCAAAGGTGAAGACCCACAGAGGGATCCTACTTCGATCCCGAATCCTCCCCACCACCACTCCACAACTTCTTCCTTACTTGCAGCCAACAGCCACGCTCAACCACTCTCACAATCCCTCACCTCCCCTTCTCCCACCCCTTTTTCCTTGTCCAATGGTGTTGTTTCCTCGTCCTCAAAGGGACAAGATGTTGGTAGTGTTTATGATCAATTCTGGCCCCAGAGTGGCTCCCGAAGCCGAGGTTCTAGTTCTGATTGGGTAAGCAACTGGGACTCTGCCTTCACCTTTTCATCTGAAAAGGAAACTGATGCAGAAGAAGGTGAAAGTACAGCTGCTGTAGAGGAAGATGATTTATTCTCATCAATTAGAGAATACCTCACTCACAAAGGAGGTGAAAGAAAAGAGGAGGCTGGGGGAAGAGATAGCCCTGCTCATACATTAGAAAACAGTGTTATTTTACCTGCCCAGGTGCAAACAGGGGTAGCTAGAGCACAATTGGACAATACAGGACAGCTGGGAGAAGCAAAACAGGTGGTAAGAGAGGACAGACAGGTAAGTAAATCAGTGAGACATAGCAGTGTGGATTCTACAGAGGAGAATGAGGCAGAGCAGCGGAGTATCTATGAGTGCCTTGAGTTGCAGTGTCAGTGGCCACCGCCCAACGCTAAGGGGAGCGCTAGCTTAGAAAGGAACATGGGGGAGAAAAAGGGAGTAGGAGGAAATACTGGAAGGGCAACAGGATTGGAAGGGAAATTTGACACATGGAGTGAAATAGAAGAGAAACAAGATGATAAAGAAGCAGCAGCAAATACCAAGTCCAGTTTAATTAGACAAAATACCAACACAGTTGAATCTAGCATTGAATCGACTCCCCAGACTTCAGACCCAATTAAGACCAAGATGTCCCGAGGTAGCACCAAGAGGCACCACTCTGGGGGTGTTCATGTCAGCTTCCGACCCTCAACTGAGTCTGTCCAGTTCCACAACCCACTTGAGAATAAGGAGGCCCACTGGAAAGCCAGGCTGCGCCGGCTCAGTCACTTCCACACACATAGCCACTCGGCTGGGGAGAGACCAGGGGCTGGAGCCGGGATGGGGTCAGGGGGGAAGCTGGGAGCAGGGGGTGCAGGTAAGTTTGGCTCGGTGGCTGGAATTAGCCATAGAACAGGGCCACATGAGAAATTGTCATCTGGAACTGTTACGGATAGCAGCGGGCCAGGGGGCAGTGCAGGTGCTGGAGGCTTGGAAAACAGGGCTGGGACTGGAGGGGACAAGGACAAGCAACATCCTGGATCCTGTGTGGGATCCAGTATGGGCCCTGAGGTCCACTCAGATGTTTTATCAAGTAGTTCAAGTTCCTCTGGCATATCGTCAGGAGTGCGCGGACGTCTGGGACGTTCAGCCTTGCGATCTCGAGCTTCCCGCTCACGCTCCCAGGAGCCTGGCAGCACTGCCTCACGACACCACCAGGGGGCTATTCTTGGTGGTGTCTATAAGACTGTGGTTCACGCCCTGTCCTCTAAGCCTCGGCCCAGAGGCCAGGGGTCATCCCAAGGCTCGTCGCCACAGCGGCAGGGCCGGGCCGCCATGGGCGACGCATCACTAAGGGATCTCTACTCCCATGTCCTGGGCTACTTTGGACGAAAGACGACTACGCCAGGTGAGGATTGCAACGAACGAAGAGCTCACAAAGGACACAACATGTGGAAAGACAAATACTCACCAACACACAAACACCAACAACTTTCTTTTCTTTTTTGGCTGTTAACTGGTTTGTTATGATGGAATGATATTTTTGGCTGAAACTCATCATCTTGCTGCTGGACTGAAATTTAAACTCCCTGTTGATGTGTTTCCTCTTGAACGTAGCCCTTCCTCCAGCCTGCCTCCTGTCGAGGACCCCATCCTCCTCCCATACCTTCCCACTTCTTTACCTCAGAAGCTCCATCCCTCCTTCTCCTGTCTTCTTTCTTCTTCAGGTTTTGGGATTTTAACCTTCTCACCTCTTTCCCCCGTTCTCCACCTCCTCCCTCTCCTCGATGTTGCATGCGGCCTCCTCGTGCCTTCTTCGCCTCCTCCCTGGACTCCGGCCCCTCTTCAGCTGCACAGAAGGAAACAACAATCTACAGAAAAGCACAACTCTCTGTAGAAAAGATAAACACACCAACAAAAAGGGAACAAGAGACATGGTTATACATAACACCTGTCATAAAGCTCTCGGATGTTTTCTGGCATTTTCCAGCTTTATAGCTTTGGTTATTGCTTTAATAGAATCATAATTATAAAGGAAAATCTGTTGTGTGAATTATCTTAAAGTGCACATGCACACATTTATGTGGACTAAAAACATTGTTGTAATTCATTCTCACGCCACTAGAAGGCAGCGTAAGACCTTGTGAGAACGGCCAACTTGATAATAGTTGAATACACAAACAGGATGAATGGATAAAAGAAGTACAAGCGTTCAAGTCTGCAATCTGAGATGGTTATTTGCCTTGTACAGTACCATAGGAGGATATCAGTTGTCATGATTAGTAAACTGCACCATCCTATCAGCAGTACAAATACCCGTTTTCTATTCATTCTGATACACAGTCCAGCAGACTACAGAATTGGAGTCAAATGATTTTGCCTTGAGGTTCAGATATATAAGAGCTCAGCGATTCTCCACCTGAATCTGTCTTGATGTGGTGTTACTGTTGTGCAGTCGTTTTTTTTTGTTTTTTTTACTTTTCTTACCTTCTCCAGTTGTTGCTTGGCTAACATGGGCCAAGTAGCACCTATATGTTTTTTTTGTTGTTGTTGGTTTGTCAACCTATGTGCCAGATGGATGGGAATTGCCACATATGATGAGACAGGCAAGACCAGCATTATTTTTACATGATTTTTAAAAGTTGAAATGGAAATGGCATTTTTATGTCAAAAATATTGATAGCTAATTCACCTCTACACTTCTGCATTTGCATTGAATTTTGTCAACCTCATCTGGTGCTCTGTGAAGACTAAAACCAGATATTACGTGTTGTGACTCACGTCATGTCTGTCTGGCTGTGTGTTGAACTAGTTAAACTCTGACTGCTAAAGATTCTGCATAATCCTTGTTTTATGAACACAGATGGTGGCCTGTGCCAGGGCTCTATAAACTTGACCACACAACTTGAGTGTGTTCAAGCATAATTTGCATGTCTGTGCTTAGTCCATTAGAATGATCTTGCACGACAACGTTGACATTATTTTTAAAAAATTGGCACAACTTCTTAAGGTGTTGTGTTGTGCATCATTTACGTTCTATTTGCTTCCTCGGAACATCTGTTTTGTTTTTTTGTTTTTTTGTGAACTGCAGTTGAGTATGAGGAGTGTGAGGCTGGATAACACAAGTCCTCAGCAGTTTGTGTGTTGGAAAGAATGTGTTATTGCAGAGTTATTGTTAACACATAACTCCATATGACTTATGTGTCCATTATATAGAACAGTGATGCCCAGTAGTTCCAGCAGTGTGGCATTTGATGCTGAATTCCACGATTGGAGTAAGATGATAACGAAGTTCTGAGACATGGCCGTCCTTAGCTGTTGTACTTGTCTACAGAGTTGATTTGGGTCTTAGTTGTCCTTTCGTAGACAGCGCAGGTGACATTTAAGCACGCCATCTCGTTCGGCCAAACACATACAGAACATTTGTTGAACTATACTGATATAGTAATGTAACTTAGAAACAGAGTAGGATTTAATTTTTTATGCTTTCATATTGTTTTGTACACATGCTTAGTTCATATTGCTATTGGTGATGTCATGGCAAATAACCATTACAGTTGATTAATAAGCTCGTAGACAGCTGGATTTGTGATATTTAACATATTGGTGAGAGAGGGTGTCTAAATAATGCACTGAATGTAGGTGTGAATATGCAGAAATGTTTTAGTTGATACATAAGAAAAGGAGTTAGATTTGTTAGTTGAGATCTTAAGTTTGTTTGATGCTAACTTCATTTCTCTCCATAGGATCATGAAAGCAAGATGCTGGTTCCTCTAATGAGCAGCTTAAATACAGTGACAAAAAAATTGCTGTTGCACTGACCTTTGTGGGTTCAAAATTTCAACTTTATTGCACATTTGATAAAGTAGAGGCAGAACAGTTGATATCCTGCCCTGGGTGATGTACCATTGTACCTGCAGCGCAAAGCATTCTGAACAAAGCTTGTCTTGTTCTTTATTCAATGGCCATAGTATGCCATATTGTCCTAAATCCAGCTAGGTGGCAGCAAAGTAAAGGATTTCATTATGTGTTCAGTAATTCTTAAGCTTTATTGACCAAAGTCCTGGGATTGAACGATGGAAGCAACCAAGCTGTCAGCTTTATCAGCCACAGGTTCAGGAATTAAAGATTAGTTAGTTAATACTGAAAGCAGCAGATTTAAGCCCATCTGACTTTAGGTTGATATATGCCCTCTGCTCTCAGAATTTACAACTAACACTTACCGCTGTCACCGCATCCAAGCTAACAGCAACATAACCCATAGTAACATAACTGCACTCATGTAGGCCTCTGGTATGCTGCTTGTCTGGACCTAACAAGGTGATGCTCTCTGTCGCTTTTTGTGCATGGTGTGTATTCACTCCTGCATTGCTTTTCTGGTGGATTTTTGATGTGCCCTCTGTTGTGTTCATATGTGTGCTTTTTTTTTTTTTTAACATTAGACTTATAATAACCTCAAGGCCTTCAGTACATGCACATCAGGACTGCTCTTATTATCCAGAGAAACTTTACCTGTTGAAATATTTTAGGTTTGTTCATGGATATTGTGACATTTTCATGTAACATCAGATCACTTATGCATCAGTTGCTGTAAATAATGTAGGTCTGCTAATAATGCTCTAGCGGTGGTGTTGGGAGTAACAGTATTGGTTTCTGATCAAAAACAAAACGTCACTATATCTCTAATTTAGACTAATACAGTAGGGATTGATGAAGTTAATCAACAAGTAAGACCTGATTACATAATCATGCTACTCATTCATTAGTACTTTTAGTTACTTATAGTTTTCTGTCTTTTTAGCTGTTTGTGTGGGGAAGCATCAGTTACTGTCTCTGTCTCTTTGTGCTCTTTGTCCATATATTCATCTACACGTCTACTGTGAATCCTCATTTTCCATCAGTTCTGTGTATGTGTGAATGTACATTATTTTCTTTGACTATTGTAATGTAACTACCTCTATATCTTAATGTGTATCTGTGTGTATGTGTGTGTGTGTGTAGCCAACAAAGAGGAGGTGGTCCAGAAGGCCCGTCCAGTCTCCAGTGATGTAGGAAGTAGTAACCCAAACTTCTCTGACCTCATGGATGAGTTTATCCAGGAGAGACTGAGGGCCAAAGGAACTGCGGTCAGCACAACACATGCACTCATTTAACATTCAAGTGTCAAAAGCCGGAGAACCGACAAACACAGCTCTCTTCCTGGTACACAGGGTCGTCGTGGCAGCAGCCCAGGAAGCCTGGAAGTTCCCAGGGACCTGCCAGAGCTCTTGGAGGCTGGTCAGAGTCCTGGATCGCGACCCTCAGATGACCTTCGTCCTATTGATGATCCGGGGGTTCCCTCTGAGTGGACGTCACCTGCTAGCGCCAGTGGTTCTGATGTCATCAGCTCTGACAGCCAATCAGACTCTTTTAATGCCTTTCAGTACTCCACATGCAAATTTGACAGTAAGGAACTAAATGCTAGATTTATTATTGGTTTTTAAAAGTTTTTTGTATAAAACTGCTATAATTTGAAGAAGGGAACATTAAAGATTGATCCTTGGAAGTTCCTGTTAGAGCATATAAAACTGATGATACATCAGAGCAAACAAAAAAGAAACGAAAAGCTCTCTAGTGGTAATATTAAAAATGAAAATATCAATAGTCCTTTATTAAGGAATATCAAACTTTAAGACTATAACTTCTCTTTTTCAGGTTAACTTTTAAAAGCCTTGGGTTTTTAGATGTTACTTTGAGTTTGTCGGAAAAATCCATCATGGTTTAACATTTTCATGTAAACATTAAGTGGACAACAAGGTTAGAAAGTGAACACTGTGTATAGCTGATGAATTATCTTTTTGTAGACTTTACTTTTAGTTCTGAGGCCTGTGGAGGAGGAGTTGGATCTGGTGGAGGAGGAGGAGGAGGAGGTCGAGGCAGCTCCCTGGACCAGGATAGTTTGGGTGGAGGCATGGCCTGTGAAGAACATGAAGTAGCCAGTTTGACAACACTTCATATCGACTCAGAGACCAGCAGTCTCAGCCACACTGTCACCGTCACTGGTATGAATAAATATGAAGATCTTGCTAGCTAAATTTGTGTTGGAAAAATATGCTGTTTAAGTAGTTGCATACAGTTATGTTCCATTTGCATATAGAATATATTTCACAGATCTACGATAACAGTCATAAAAACAGATTAACGATTTGGCTGATAAGAACTAGTAACACACATCTGACATGTAGGTCTTTGGCTGTTTAATCAGGGGTCGTTAATGTTTCTTTTCTTTTCTCCTTGTCCTGTTTGTGCCTTCTTGTCTAGGTTCTGAGAGTGCATCACCTATGCATTCCCTTGGGGGCTCTCGCTCCCAGACACCCTCTCCTGCTACACTGACAGCAGAACACACTGATCACACACACTCCCATTCGCACACTCACTTGCAGTTGGACCAGAAACTCCACAACTCTGTCCTACAGACCCCTGATGATCTGGGTAATACTGATGCACACATTCAACATGTTCTTTCAAATACCATTTTTCTTTGTTGATGAAGAGTCTTGTATATAAATTAGTTATCAGAATGGATGAGAGATTTGGGAAAGTGCTTACATGTAGTTTTCTTCCACTCATGTCTGACACTTAAATTAGAGGCAAGAGTCACTGATTGATTCACTGATTGATTCTAGAAACAAGTGAGTTCCCCAGCGAGGACTGCAGTGTGATGGCAGGCGGTTCTCTAACTGGATGGCACGCAGATGTTGCCACAGTAATGTGGAGGAGGATGCTGGGTATCCTGGGGGATGTCAACAGCATCAAGGACCCAGAGATCCATGCTCAGGTCTTTGACTACCTTTGTGAACTGTGGCAAAACCTGGCCAAGGTGAATACTGATATACATAACTGATACACTACTCTGACTCAGCACTTTCTCTAATGATGACTTTGGTTAAAATGGGAATTCCTCTTTTCAGATCAGGGATAATTTGGGCATATCTCTGGACAACCAGTCGTCTCCTCCTCCTCCTGTTCTGATTCCACCCCTGAGAATCCTTACCCCCTGGCTCTTCAAGGTATGTGTGATTGAGCGATTACCAGAGTATTTATGATCTTCAGGCCTCGTCACACATGAGAATAAGGAGTAATGTTTGGCAAAAACAAAATTCCATATCCATTTTTTTAGGGTATAGCTATGTTTTGATCAATTTCCCTGATTAAATAGCAATGGGATACATCTGTTTGCTGCGTAAAGCCGAAAAGGAGACACTATGTGTATGTCCATATGTGCTTTTTTTTCTAAGGCCACAATGCTGACGGAGCGTTATAAGCAGGGAAAGCTTCATGCCTACAAGCTAATCTGCAGGATCATGAAGAGACGGCAAGATGTTTCCCCGAACTCAGACTTTCTCACACACTTCTACAACATCATGCACCAAGGACTGCTGCACCAAGACCAGGTAAAGTGTGTGTGGGTGTGTGAAAGTGTTCAAGAGGTGACAACAATCATAACCTGAGGGTGGTATCAAAGTTACATTTAAACACAATACGTCAATAAACAGCAGATTTTATTCATAGATTTTACATTAACAAGTAGTGTCCCCATCATTCTTAATTATTTCAGTTTTAAATATGGTATTCCTTAATCCTACCAGTATATATTAAACAAAATATGTAATTATAAGTCAGAGTTTCAGACTACAAGGTGGCACGTGGAGTTTTAAACTGCAGAGAAAGCAAATGTTTTTAATAAAAAAAACTGTGTTTCTTTAACAGGATATTGTGAACACCATTATCAAGCATTGCAGTCCCAGGTTCTTCAGTATTGGTCTACCTGGAGCCACCATGCTGATCCTGGACTTTATCATTGCAGCTTCACGAGTCACTGCCTGCTCATCACTCAATGTAAGAAATGCAGAAACATGTTTGTGTGTAGAGTTGTTTACGGTAACTCAGTTCCTAAAACAGTGTGACAGGCATGTTCTTCATGTTTATTTCCTTCTCACCGCTTTTTTTTTTTTTGGCTTCTCTCCCCCTCTTGCTTTCAAGGCTCCAAGAGTGGAGGCTCAGATCCTTCTCGGGTCTCTGGTGTGTTTTCCCAACTTGTATGGGGAGCTTCCAGCCCTTCACCCCACCACTGCTGATGTGGTGCTGACCAAATTCCCAGATGTCAAGGTACATGACTGAGACAGGTCATTGACCTATGCTATAGGCCAGGGGTGTCCAATCCTGGTCCTCAAGGGCCACAATCCGGCACATTTTGGATGTTTCCCTCTTCCAACACACCTGATTCAAATGATCAGCTCATCATCAAGCGCTGCAGAAGCCTGATAACGATCCTGATCATTTGAATCAGGTGTTTTGGAAGAGGGAAACATCCAAAATGTGCCGGATTGTGGCCCTTGAGGACCAGGATTGGACAAACCTGCCATAGGCTATGTCATTGTTCTTTGTGACAGTATTATAGTGAACCATTATAGTTAAGGGAGGCATTTACATGGGTATGACTTTATCATTGCCAAGAGTTATAACAAAATGGACATCTCCGTCACAGATATGCTATTCTTGATAAATGAAAACTTTTCAGTATATTTTTAAAAAATGTACAGCGAACAAAGCGTAGATTCAAAAACTTTTGTCTGTCTTTTGTGTAATCCAGGTCAGTCCAAACCCTGTAGCACTTGTCTACTGTCCGTAGGGGATCTCAGAACCAAACTAATAGGTTAATCTGTCATCAGCCATTCTTGTAACAGCTCAGGGCTATGGGAGTAATGTTGTTATTGTTGTTGTTGCTGTGTAAACAGTTAATGCCATGCGTGGCAGCGCCTCAGGCTCGCTCACTGGTTTCTTACAAGGCAGAAACTTGTTTTGAATCACTAAGCGGTCATTAACACTGACCGAGGGGACAAAACCAGTGAGAGTGTGAATGCGTCTGGGAGTGTGTGTGTAGATGTGGTGTAGATGTGCCTGAACTGTGGCAGTGTGCCCATATTTAGTTCAGCATATGTGTGTATAATATACATTAACACCTCATAATGTAATTCCTTGAATCAGTTTTCCTATTATCTGACTGAGTGCTTAAGCACTCAGCCAGTGTCTTCATTATGCACCCCTGGAGGTTACATTTGTCTCTGAAACCTGAGCATGAAATTACACATTATGCAGATATTGACCCAACACATTGTACTGTTAGTTAAGTTCTGTATGGTTTGTTTTACAGGAGCACATTATCAAAACCATCCTGACCTCTGCCAGGGATGAGCCCTCTGCTCCTGCTAGGTAAGTTTTTGTGTGTCTTTCTGTCTGTGTCTGTATCTCTCTCTAAACTCCTGAAAGTGTGATGCATTTAGTGTTATTTTTTAAACTTTGTTAGAGGTACGTTTACTCAATTCTGTAAGGATTTTGGACATCACTGTTTCTGTTGTTGATGTATTGGGTCATATTATATAAAAGCTGTTTGAATAGATTGGACTGTTAAAATACAAATGAAGAAATAATTACATTTGAAAATGTTTCTGTAGTCTTGGATTTGGACAGGTGCGCCATGTTAAGAGTTCATATGTCAATCTATTCACCTGTATAAGATGTTGTAGGAGTTTAATATGATAGTATAACCTGTGACTACATCTATGTGTACTAACTGCTTGCAAATAGCATTTTTCTATATTCTTTGTTATTTGCTGTATTAATACAGTAGTATGTGTGTTTTAAGAGTATGCATATTGATTACGATATACAGTAAAGCTTTTTGTTTTGGGCTCTGTGTCAACAGTATTTCTGTATATGTAACCACTTGCTAATGCTGTACTTGTTTGGCCAGGTGTGTGGCTCTGTGCAGTCTGGGTATCTGGCTGTCTGAAGAATTGGCTCATGGCACTCAACATCCACAGATTAAAGATGCTCTCAATGTCATCTGTGTTACCTTGAAGGTCAGTCACACCTCAGTACTGTTATAAATAATAGCTATGTACTATACCTACCCTGAAACCAATTGATTGGTCAGAGGGGGTGAAATCTGCATGTTAACTCTAGGTGTACTGAAATATATTTTTGTCCATTTTGGTGAGAGGAGACTTCATATCCAGCTTGGTCTGGAAATAGCTGCTACTCCTGACTGGTGGAGCCGCCAAACTGTTGCTTGATGCACCTGCCATTTTGTGAACTGCTGTTTGAAAAGTTTGCACTCAGCTTTTTGTCCATCTGTTTGAACAATATGCAGCCACACTGATTCCTTTTTTGCGAGTTGTGTCAGAAAAGTTTCAGGACTGGTGTCACAAAAGATATATTTCAAATCCAAACTACAGGGGGGATTACTTCGAGTAATCCCCCCTGTAGTTTAACGCACTTTCCCAGCCTTGTCTGCCACGCCGCCATGCGCTCCTGGAAGGATTCTTCCAGGATCCTCTGGAGCTCCGTCGTCACAGCCATCTTGATGTTGTCCACGCCTTCAGAACAGGTCCCCCTGATGACCCCCTTGAGTTTGGGGAAGAGGAAAAAATCCTACGGAGCCAGGTGGGGTGAGTAGGAAGGCTGTTCCAGCACGGTGATGCTCTTCTCAGCCAGGAACTGTTGGATGCTCAGGGCATTGTGAGCAGGCGTGTTGTCATGGTGAAGCTGCCACAACTCTTGCTGCATTTTGCGCACTGAACTAAGCAAATGCAGCAGGATTTGAAATATATCTTTTGTGACACCAGTCCTGGAACTTTTCTGACACAGCTCGTACATTGTATGAATTAGACTGGAAGTGACTTTGAATAAACGTTTAGCCAACGTTAAATAAGTTAGACCTAAATGTCTCTATTACTTTGGGCCAGTTCTGCGTTTTCAAAGCAATTTTTCATTGGTAGTATGTTCCTAAGATATGCCAAAAATATTTGATTGAACCTGGAAGACTATTGACATAGCGCTTTTGTCCTCATGAAAGTAACATTGACGACTTTCTGACCATTGAGAAATTGGTTGTGTGAAAGCATATCGACTAACCAGTCACTCTGGAGACTACATCCCAACCACCTACTGAACATCCAACTATGGCTAGAATTTTTTCTTTGAACTGTGAATCAATAAGGTTCAAGTGTCAAACCAGCTGGTTAACATTATCAGTTGTGTGCAGTGTTTGTGTGTTGTCTAACTTTGTCCCTGCTGACTGTGGTACCATGACTGCTCTCCCTGTCACAGACTGTGATCCACTGAAATAAGACCAAAGCAATGACTGTGAATCAAAGAGGCTGCTAACTGGCCACATGTTACATTGATGTGCACATCACAGTTGTGTCGAAGCATCTGTTCTTGTTGCCTCAATGTTTAATTAGACTTAGTTTAGTTGACAAACATATTACCAGTTGCATAGGTCAATATACTACATTAATGTAAGTTTAAAACAGCAAAATTTTAAACATGCTAATATATGTAAAAATGAAATGCTTCTTGTTTATTCTGATGGAAGTTTTTTTTTTCTTTTTTGCTTACCTCACAGTCTTGTACGATAAGTGAACCTCCAACATGTTTTCTTATTTCTTCAGTTTTTTTTCCCTCACAAACAATGCCACTGCTGTAAGATTTTTAATCTCTATTGGGCATTTGAATGTAAATCCTACTTAATACTGTGTGACCCCTGGAATTACTTTTTAAAAACAGATTGCCTGTCAGTGTCTTTACATTACAACTTCTTTGAATGGGAAGAGCAGACATATGTGAGGGGATTAATACTGTCAAAATATGTGAGGACTTACCTGGCCAAATTCTGAGTTAACTTATGGACAGTTTAAGTGCACCAACATACTGAAATAGTAAAGGATTATTAGATTGTGGATGTGTGTTAAACATGGTCAGCTGCAAGCAACTATGTGGTAGATGATTGTTCGTGTTGGGGAAATTGCCTCAGTTGGTATTGTCTGTTTCGGGCAAGGAGACTGGGAGGCCTGTGGATCAGAATAATACTGTCCAACATTTACTGTCTCATCTATAGCCAAGTGGCTCGAGATGGACACAAACACACACACATACACACACACACACACATACCTTTTCCACTTTGGAATCCCTAGCTCATGTATCGGCAGCCAATGGCCTGCTAAGACACTACAGTTACACACACACACACTTGCATTCACTTACTCCTGGGAGCAAACCCTGGACTGTCAATATGTTTGGTCCTCCTTCTGATAGGAGACTAATCCAGGGGGAATGCTGCAAGCTGTGTCTCACACACACACATACACACACACACACACACACACACACACACACTGTCACGTATGTACACACATCTTGTCCACTTTTGAATCTCTTGCCTTCATACCAGCAGCCAGTAGCTTCAGCCATGGGCTCTGTGACATGCACCCACAATTACACACACATACACAAAGCTTGAGGGATTGTCATATTTCCATGCAGAGCCGCTTCCTCCTGTTGTCCTCCTTGTTCTCCTTCCCTTTCATCTGAAAGCATTTTTTATTTTGTAGGTGGCGATCCTCATTAGAGCCTGACTAATCTCTTCTTTCTAACCACCTTGGGTTTTATTGTGTTAGAAACAATATATAGATCTTAAATAGGTATTGAATTTAAAACAGTTCCAGGAAAAAATTGTGAATACTGGAACAGATAGTGGAAACATACTGATGAAGACTTGTTGTGGAAGGCTTGTGCACAAAAAGTTTCTTATCATGGAAAAAGTGGTTCACCATAAAAGAGAAAAATAGAGAAAGTTACAGACTCACCACTGTGGAATTTTAAGACTGATAATGGATACCAGTTTGTATTGGCTGATATTTAATGACCTGACAGTATTAATCTAAGAATACAAAAATGTAAAGATTAGTATTCTATTATTTTTTGATATTTACACTAATTGATTCCAGATCTTATCTAATGTTTGACACTGTTTGTGAATACCATTAAAATAACTATGCAAGCTCTTGGAATTATACATGTTTAGCTAAAGCTATTTAAATGAATATTTTTGAAAAAATGAAAACCTTTTAGAATAAACAAGCTAACAGCCCTACGGCATCATTCATCCTCTCCTCTCTCCTCCTCCCTCTGCTACCTTTTCTGCTTATCAGCCTCGAAGTATCAAAGATTTCAGCTTATCTAAAGATACATGGCTAATTTGCCTTAATCATCAAATGAGATTAGCGATTATTTTCAGCTCAATTATGCAAACTCTGAATGTGTATGTGAAATGTAAAAGTGTCACATTTGTGCAAGTTGTTTGATACCTGATGCTGATGGATTTTGTTGTAAGTATGTTTAACCTGCATTTTCATCTTCTGCTGAAGAACAATACAATCCAAAGTCTGTTTCATTCTCCCCACTGTGTGCTTTAAGAGAGGAGCTCAGCACCACCTTTGAGCAAACAGAGCAGTTAGTGGTTTATACAATGCTGGTAAATATATCAGTTTAACCAACAGAGACTGTAATGGATGTCAGTTCCTAAATGTGTCTTTCATCTTCCAGTACCCCAATAAGAATGTTGCACTGGTGGCATCAGACATCCTTCACCTCCTGATCAGTTACGTGGATCATCTTCAGAAGTTCCCCCCTGACACTCCAAAGAAAATCGTAGAGGTGACACATCAATAACTGTATACATTTGTACAATTGATCGAATATTTCCAAACACTGGACTAGTTTATTTATGAACTCTTTATCACTGTGGCGTCACATTGTGATGGTAGATCATACTGTGTAAAGACCTTAGAAGGACTAGAATACATTTAAAAACTTCATCTAAAATTCTTTTTAGAGGTTTTTAAAAATGAAGTTGCTTTCTGGTAACACATTAGCTCAGAAGCATTCATTCTCACAGTGCTGTAGATTTGTAACATAATGGCATGTTTGTTTTTTTTCTATTGTGTTTAAACAGTTTTAATGGAAAACAATGTCTGCGTTTTCTCTTTCTTTAGATTTTGATCGCCACCATCACACACTTGCTGCCTTCTACTGAGTCCTCTCCTCATGAGCTGGACAAGAGGGTAACACGATTGCATTCACAAAAAATATCAATATTTTTTATTCACTGCATCATTTGTTCTACAGAGAAAGACTTTATGCCTTTGTGTTGCAGTTGGTGGTTTCCCTCCTGTTGTGTTTGTTGGACTGGGTGATGGCTCTGCCTCCGAAGACCCTTCTGCAGCCTGTACAGACACGAAGCCCTCCAGAGAAGGACCAACCTACCAAGACCCTGCTTAGCTGTATTTATAAGGTGTGTATGTGTGTGTGTCTGTCATCATGACATGACTAATAGTTTAGCATACACAATTACTTAGACTGAAATAAAATTCATTTGAACATGAGCCATTTCTACTACAAGATTCACTATTTACTGACACTTTTTTTCCTCTTCTTTTTATCGGTATTGGTGCAGTAAAACTGAACTTGAATGGAATCCAATCTGAAGCAGTATCCATTAATCAGCATGTCATTTTCTTTTAAACTGTGTCTAGGTATTACATGGTTGTGTGTATGGAGCGCAGTCTTTCAGCAGTCCCAAGTATTACCCGCTGCAGCTGTCGGACCTGTTGAGTCCGGACTACGATCCGTTCTTGCCATTAGAGAACCTCCGAGAACCAGAACCACTGCACAGCCCAGACTCAGAACGCTCCAGCAAGCTACAGCCTGTCACTGAAGGTAATTTATCTAACACTGGAGACACACTATGCAGCCTTAGAATCCGTAACATCTCTATATTGAGTCCACCGTTTCCTACACATGTAAAGTGGTGCATTAACACAGACGCACGCAAATGCACCAAATCTCTGTAAAATATGACCCAGAGTCGTTCACCAAACCACTGCCAATCACTAAAGATTGGAGAAGGTAGGTATGTGTATGTATGCGCACATGTCTGCATCCGTGTGAGAGTGTGTATTGTCCCCTGCTGTGGTCTACCAAGACTCAGTGACTAGTCTAATGACTGGAGCACACTGATAGGCCATGCTTCTCTTCTCTTCTCTTCTCTTCTCTTCTCTTCTCTTCTCTTCTCTTCTCTTCTCTTCTCTTCTCTTCTCTTNTCTTCTCTTCTCTTCTCTTCTCTTCTCTTCTCTTCTCTTCTCTTCTCTTCTCTTCTCTTCTCTTCTCTTCTCTGTCCTCTAATCAGTCTCTTTAAAATTCTGATGTATTTATCTGCTAATAATCTTTTCACTTCTGTTATGTTCTCCCAGATTAATTTGTCTCTTTTTTTTTTTTTTTTCTTTCCTTTTCTTTCATCTGTCTCCTCTTGAGCCCCCCTGAGGTTTAGGTAGTCATTGAGAATGTCTGGTCAATACATATCTGTACTCTACAAACAGCCTGTCAATAAGAGTTGTTGCAAAGTGCGTGTGTGTGTGTGTCACGGTGTGTGTGTAATGATGTTGATGAACCAGGATCTGCTGGCAGCACAGTGTGTGATGGCATTGGCTTCTTCTCAGCATGGGGCAAACTATGTCCTAGCTGAAAGTGTGTTTGTACCTTTTCCTAGTTTGTACAGTCATTCTTGAAGTTTTGCAGTAAGTTGGAACCTAAGGAACAAGTCTAAATAACAGCCACACATTATTGGCTGCTATAGAACTGCAGGTTTACTACTTTAGTTGTTTATTATACCATGCAAATCGCTTATCTGAAGTAACACACTCATAAATGAGTAAATGTATTCATTGGCATTCATGCTTTTCACTTATAAACACATTTGCCACTGTGTAGCAAATAAGACGTACTATGAATTTTAATTTGCTTTAATATGTACTATATGTTAACTGTTGTGTTGTTGTGTAGACATCAGCCCAAAAGGAACTCTCCAGCAGACTGCAGTGCAACAATGTTTTTTTCTGTGTAACTAGAGAATGTGCTTTGTTAAAAAATACTTTCCTAAAAGAAAATGGAAAAAGTCACCGTTTCAAATGTTATTCTTTAATATCTACTTTCTTAAATATACTTGTATTAACTGTATCTTTCTGTTATTCACACTCTAAATAGACGTCATCGCTTTGCTCTCTGTAATCTCTCTGCAGTTCGCAGTCGTATTCAGCAGGGCCTGGTTTCCATCGCAGCCAGAACAGTAATTACCCACCTGGTCAACCATCTAGGACATTACCCCATGTCTGGAGGGCCCGCCACTCTGTCGAGTCAGGTACTGTTTCTTTGTGTGGTTGGTGGAAACAATGGCACGAGTATGATGTAGAAGTTATACTAAGGGAAATAAACTCTACAAAATGTGGAACACATTTGTTATTTTGCCAGTTTGACACTATGACTCATGTTTGCAGGTGTGTGAGAACCAAGACAACCCATTCTGTGAGAGTGCAGATCTTGGACCAGAACTTTTCCATTCACCAAACCTACAGTTTCTGGTTCTGAACGGCTCCACATTGCTGTCAGTGCTACAGGTAACCTCAGCTGAAAAGAGTTCCTTTGATAAATTTAGACACTTTGTGTGTAAGAAAAAAATATGGTCCCACCACATGTCTTTTAGATTTATAGCCATTGTACATGACTGAACTTTGATATGGACTGAGCCCTGACTTAGCATCTCTTTCAAAAATTGCCAAAGTTACAAGCAAGAAACTGTAAAAACAGAAACAGAAATGTTGAACTTCTTGATGGTCTGTGAACATGTTATGTGTGATGTGTAGTTCCTTTGTCTAAAACAACCAAAATCAAGCTTAAAATTCTGATATTTCATGAAAGTGATACTTTATTCTACATATCTCATTTAAAACTTTGCCAGAAATACACAGTTTGCACTAGATTCTATTAAAAGAACTACAATAAATTCTGTGACCCTCAGCAGAACAGAAAGGCCATGAGTTATGCAGCTTCTTTTTATCATAGCTGCAGACTGTGTTTAGAGCAGACAGGAGACAAATATGAAAGCCAGTTAAGAGAATCTGAGAGCAAAGAAAAGCATTTCTAAACAATAAAATACATGCAGCATAGCAAGTTGGAAGTGCTTGAGGTTCCGAGGATTAAGCCTGCAAATGTCACTCTGTGTGCAGTGTAACATATATGTAAGTTTGCTGAATGATTCTCTCCTCTCACCTTGATTACTTATTTAAATTTTTGATATTGTTTGTTTTGTTTGTTGTTTTTTAAAATTCACTTTCAGAATCTTTACAATATATTACAGTTCTTAACTGCTTATTGTGCTCAGTCCCTTTTGTCTGGCAACGAAATGTGGTTTGTACTGTCAAAGCTTTGAACAAAGGGAGATCATGTTTTTAGTGTTTTAGCTCCGACACTGTGGAGCAAACTCCCCCCCAATTCGCTGATCAACTGCAGAGGCAGTTGTACATTTTAAAAAGCCTCATAAACACCATTTGATATATTCATAATATATATTGTATGCCCCTCTGTGAAGCACTGTGATACTGTGGTTTTAAAGGTGCAATGAAATAAAGCTTGCTTTCTGCTACTTGGACATTAGGAGAAGGTGCATATTACTGTAAACATGAGTTGGCAAAGTAAAGCAAAACAGCAACTTTGGACGCTTTTCATTGTAACTTTGTCTTGGACATATCATTTATTGGTTTCTGTGTTGAACTTCTTTTAGAAAGCGAAAGATAGATTTGCACAGCTGAGATGTGGACTGTGTGAAAGGAGCTGCTATTCAGTATCAGGCTGATTTCTTCCGTATTTGAAGAATTTAGCGTAACCCTTGTCTTTGTCATCTTCTGTCTCCTAGATCCGATCAGAGTCTGGTGTGCCAGGAGGCGGAATGACAGCTGGTTTGTCCTCTGCTCCTGCTAGCGTTCGTGTCATCATCCGAGATGTCGCTGGAAAACACTCCTGGGACTCTGCCGTCCTCTACGGGCCTCCGCCGTGTTCCCCAAACAGTCCAGCACACACACTTTTAACACACACACAGTCACCTCACAGCGCGAATCTTCATTTACGCACCCCACCAGGAGGTCCGCCAAAAAAGATGGTAGTGAAAAGAGAAGATAGCGAGGAAGATGGGCAAGAAGATAGGGGGCCAGAGGAGGGAGGAAGAGGGATGGAGGGTGACAGGCAAGAGTTTCAGGGAGAGGGGGAGGAGGAAGGAGAGAAAAGGAAAGCCGGTGACGAGGAGAAGGAAGATCAGAGAGGAGGTGACGATGGAGAACAAGGAGACGAGGAGGAGCAGGAGGAGGAGAAGAATGAGCAGGGATTGGATGGGGTGGGGGATCGAGGAACGTCGAGCTTTGAGCAACTTCTAGCTCCACCATTGGCTAAACGTGTGTGTCGGGAGGCGGTGCCAGCGTGGGACTCACTGAGAGAAGGCGATGACGCACTGGATGAAATGCTGCAGTACCTCGGATACTCAAGTCCTGAGTGTCTACAGAGAGCAGGTACACCGTTAAACCTCAATTTTTTTCAATGCTTGTTTATTCTACAACACATAAAAATAACAGTTTGTGCTTAACCCTCTGAATCCCCAAATCTGCCAGCAGTTTTTAAAGGCCTGTTGTCTTTTAAAAATGTCTCAAAATGGCACCATTTATCAGAGCCAGAAACTGTAGAAACAGAAAGAATTTTGTCCTTTAACTTATCTTTTGTGACTTGTGGTTGCATTTGGAAAATTAACTCAGTGGAAACTTAAAATCAGGATAGTTAATCAAAAAGACTTTATTTAACATGTGTCCTTTAAAGATTTACCAAAAATAACCTGCACCAGATCCTGTAAAAAAAAAAAAAAAATATTCTGCATCCCTTGGTGCAAGCGACAGTCCATTAGTGACTCAGCTGCAACCAGCAGTCACATAACAAAAGTGCAAAAATTTCAATTGAACTACAGACTTACTCAGAGCAGAGAGGCGATGTATGGGGAGAAAAATGTTTTGTATGAATAATAGCTTTTTTTTTCTTTTTAGTATTGGACAAACCTGTAAGCACTTGAAAAAATGCATGTTAATTCAAAGTTTTTTTTTCAGTTTTTCTAAAACAAACAATAAAAAGTGTTAGCTTTTGTTTTTTTTTGTGATTTATGGAAACCTTGTTCTACTAGGCAAAAGCAGTTTTTGAGTCTTTTCTACGTGTACCTATGTTTGTACTGTTTCTATCCAGGCACAGTAATAAAAATGAGTCCACAGTGAGTAAAAATACACCAAAAAACACCTGAGAAACTGAAGGGAGTTCAGAGAGTTAACCAGGGCTCTGCAACAGTTGGTCAGAAGTTCTAAAAGGAAGGAAAATGATTTCAACATCACATGTGAAAATCTGATTATTCAAAGCTAACTTTGACTTCTGATTGGTCCCCCAGGCATGCCACTCAACATCCCAGCCCCTCCTCCAGCATGTGTTTCAGAGAAGCAGGAGAACGATGTGATCAATGCCATCCTGAAACAAAGTGCCGATGAGCGAGAGTTTGTCTTTCATGTGCGTAATGCCCATTTTCATATGACTAGAAATTGCTAAGTAAGCCACATTAATTTGGAGTCTGTTCTGTAGTGTCTCTGCATGGGATACGTAGCTACTGGAGCCTGACAAGGGCAGTATCAGCAAATGTATAGTTTGGCTAATCCAACATACCTGTAATGTATGTACAGAAGCAAACCAACATGGTTCCTATACATTAAAATTAAGCTAACTAATAATATTGCATTGAGATAGCTGAATATGTATCATTGTGACTAAGAACAACACTGAAATATTTGAAAGCACCAAATAACGGTTCATTGACAGGTGCAACATTTCTCAGGCTGTATACATGTTAAATTATTACTTTTACATCATGCAGGTGTTCTGAAAATAATTTGTAGAAGCTGCTCTCTGAAAAAGAATCACCATAACGGCTGTTCTCAGTAATGTAATACGTCATGCTGTTCTTTTCATTGTAGAAGTTTTGGTTATTCTTCCATGTTGCAGTTTTGTTTTGTTTTTTTTTTGTATTAACCTGGTGTAAATGGATGTTTCAGAGAGGTGAGGAGTTGAACATGAGAGCAGTGCAGCAGACCGAACCAGAGACTCAGACGCCACAGTCAGCCTTCTACTACTGCAGACTACTGATCAACATACTGGGACTGAACTCCTGGGAGAAGAGGTGAGACCAGGAATAGGCACACTTTGAAAGCCCAACAAAATTTTGATTTTTTTTTTTGTTGTTGTTGATTTTTAAAATATAGATTTCGTTCTATCTGTTAACTTTGTTGTATTTGTGCCATCTCTACATTTGGAAAATTTTGTCCACAGCCAGTTAAAGTGTTAATGTTAATGGGAATTCTTTCAGACTTTCTCAAACTGCTCTTTTTGTTCTTATTCTTATTAGAATAAATAGCATTTTAAGGGGATAAACATGTTTTAAAAAACCTGTTTGCACATGTCACAACCGAAGTGGAAACTCTACATATCAATCAATCAATCAATCAATAGTACTGATTGATTGATATGTAGCGTATCACCCAAAGTACGAAATTCGGTTTCCATATGTAACATTCCAAGACTTCCAAAAATGCCTCTTGGACCAGTACCAAAAAATCCAACAAGGCAGCTAATGTGTGTTTAATGTGGCATTTTTGGCCTAGTTTATACCGTTTACAATTACACTTTAACAAACTCCCTCTATAGAAATAGTCAAATCAAAATCATATTTGGACAGTCTAATTGAAAGACCGCTACGATTCTAAACTGCAAAGCTTTTGAATTTTCTTTTGATGGTGTGTCTGCAGCCGCATAGTGAAATTTGTCATGAAAGAAATAAGCAGTTGTAACACAAATGTACAATATTAAACTTGACACAAATTTCTCATGACTGATGAGTCCCAGCTGAACATCTACATGTTGACTCGAAGTCACAGGGTTGCCTGCTACCAACATGAAGTCAGCCTTATTTGACAAACATCATCCAATTTCTACAAAATTTACCTGCTGTGCTCTACGCATGATATACAGCAACATGATGAAACATGAGTTCAACATTCAATTTGAGTCCAGTCCTGAAGGCATCTACATGTGTGCAATTAAAACCCTCAAAACCTTGATGTGCACTGGAACACACAAGGTGTTAAGACCTCAGCTTTAGCATGTATATTTGCTTTTCATCTTCGATTTTTTAAGTTCTTCAGTTTACCTTTATGTGATTATTCCTGTAAGACAAGATGATTTTGTCATTAAAAGACATAAAACACAGTTTTTGCACATTTTGTGCCAAAGGCACAGTAAGTAAGGGATTTCAACTGAGAGGCAGTTTTTGTGCTTCTGTAAGACATGTGTGGGATGTCTTTTATGATTTTTGTCTTCCCTAGAACAAACCAAATGCTTGTTGAATGCAAATGAGACAAAAAAATCAAATTCAGCAAAGTATTTTGTGCTCATTAGACACCACGTTCTCCCATTCACATGGTACAGCATTTCATCTTCTCAATGGCTCTGGGCTAAAATACACAGTGTCAGGGTATCACTTTAAATGTGTCTGGCCAGCTAATGGACACTCATCGCTCTTTATACTTTATCCAGGGAATTACACTTTCTGCATTCAGCCCACACAATAGGCTTCTTAACACACTGTGCTTGTGTGTGTATATGTGTGTAAGAGTGTGTGATAATGAGTATAGTGCTCTATTGATCAAACTCAACCCATTTGGAGTTAGAATAAAAGACAGTAGTTGAAGAAGAGAATGATTGAGGGTGAAGTGGCAAATCAGAAAACAGGATGAAAAAGGCACATGTAGATGTAGAGAAAGAATAAAAAAAACAAAAAATGAAATGCAGCCAAAAAAAGGTGCGTAAATATGGAGGATAATGAAAAAGGCTCAAGAAACTTGGATTTTGGAGACAAAAGAGAATAGACAGATAAGAATGAAAGAAAAGAAGAGATTGTCTAATCATCTGTTATTGTCCCCTTATGTCTCTCCAGGTATTCATATGGGGCTTTACAGACGCTAAGATACTGACAGTCACCCATGTGTGTGTCCCCTTTTATGCTTTTCCCTATAATCCAGGGTGTAAATGGAGTCTTTGAGAGCAGAGAATGAGGCCATTACCAAGTATCAGTTTAATAAAGAGCAAATTGCTGTCTCTCTCTCTCTCTCTTTATCTCCTGCTCTTTCTTTTTTTTTTTCTGTCTCTAAGAGTGAAAAGAATGACGTGTCATTATCTGTCCACTCCAAGCCTCACTACTCGAGTCTTGGTTTGATATCAGCAGTGCAGGGGTTGGCGGCTGGTCGCAGGGACATTTTGAACGACCACTGGACAACTTTTTATGCATGAAAGGCTTTTGTTTTCATTAAAACAAAGGGCCTTGTGCTTTTCTGTTTGGAAAGGGACAATGACACAAGCTGTGGTCAGTTGCTGTGTCTGCTCATTTATGCTACAGTAATAATAATACCCAGTCATCTATAATTGTAGGACCAGAGTTAAGACAGCAGTATGTTAGTGTCTCACACTACTGTTCTGATTTCAAATTAATACATGGTGAAAACCTTGTGCTTATACCACAGTTAACCTATATGGAAAAGATAATCTGATTAGATCTTGATACACATGTCAGAGGACATGAGAATACTAGGCACCCCTTGTTCCATTCTTAATACAACAACTTGCCAACTCTCTGCCAAATTTCATGTACACAAATGAATGTAGCACCACTTCCTAGTAGATGGTATGAAAATATGTTGTCCCCATTCTCCTGTGTCTATGAAGGCCCGGTACTAAGCTCACCTTTGAGTGTGGTCATGCATAACAATTGTGAGTGCTTTTACTGTCTGACAGTCGGTTGACACGTTGTACAAACTAGTTCTTTACAAGAAACACTCTGTTCTTTAAAGAATGCTCGGTCCCCACTGAAATTTAATTAAGTCTATGAGCCTGTTGTAGTGTCTGACAGTGTAACATGTAGTAACAGTTGTTAACGATGAAAAAAAAGCTTGTGAAAAAAGAGATGCTTTTTGCTTTTAAGAGAATGACAAGCTGACTCCAAAAAGGTCTAATAATACAAATGTCCTGTATAAGTTCCTGTCTACAGTATGACTAAAATGAGATATACTCCGTTTGGATGATTCACACATATTCAAAATTGTGGATGTGAAGTTGGGGAAAGGCTTACCTAACGTGGTTGTTCTGTGGCATAGTTCTTAAAGGTTCTGTGCAGTAATTGCAGTTCTCTTGTGATCTTTAAACCCTTCATTTTCTTCTTTTTAAAATGTTTTCTCTTTCAAATGTACAAATGACATTTGACGGATGGCAGACTTGATGAAATCATTTCAAAATATCTTTGAATTTATTTTCAACCAAGGTAGAGCATTTCTGGCCTTAGTTTAAAGAGTTTACTAGTGAATAAGGTGTTTATGATCAACAAACCAAATGTATGCTTGGAAGTTTAACCTTGGAGATGCGTTTTCTTCACCTGATGATGCCTTTAATGCAACATTATGGTTTGGAGTTTTTTAGTGGCTGTGGAGAGGGCAGATTTTACATTTAGTTGAAATTGAAAAAGTAACAAGCAAGCTTCATACCGATCCCAACATTGTACCAACAGCTGCTTGGTGAGCCATTCTTACACTCACGATCGCAATGCTCTAAAATATATGTGACTCAGTAAATGTTCATAAGGCATACATCTATTAATGTTCAACATTGCGTTTTTTTATGTGGCTATGCATGATGTCTTGTTTGTTTCTCTCTTCAGTCTTTCTTTTCACCTGGAAACAGACAAAACCAGCTGGGACAGACACAGTTTGTAGCCAGATAGACAGGCAGGCATAACTGTGAATAATGAATTCTAACTTGTGCGCCTTTGTGTTTTACAGGAGTAACTTTCATTTGTTGAGGAAGAATGAGAAGTTACTGAGAGAGCTGAAGAATTTGGACTCACGACAGTGGTGAGAAAATAAAACTCTTACTGCATTCCTCCTCCATCTCCCCCGTTCAACCTTTTCATTCAGCATTTAGTCCGTTCATTGCTTGAACTGCCTGGATATTACTGCCTTAGCAATGAATATTTTTATTAGTCGCACTGTTACTCATCATTATTTTCCTTCATTCTCTGCTAGCCGTGAGACCCATAAGATTGCAGTGTTTTACGTTGCTGAAGGTCAAGAAGATAAACACTCCATACTAACTAATACAGCGGGCAGCCAGGCTTATGAGGACTTTGTCTCTGGACTGGGCTGGGAGGTAAGAACACATTGACTCAGACATTCAAATTCTACAGTTGTCTTTGATATTGATTGATCTAAATTGCCTAAATAAAATCCTGTCATGTCACTGATGGATTGGCTTATTAAAGATTGTAGCATTAGGTTCCTTTTATAATGGGTTCAGTGGTTAAACTATAACGTTCACTTATGTGTCTTAGTGTTTCAGCAGGGGGATGATGGTACACATTAATATACTGGAGCAATGCAAATGCAATGCACAGTTTTGTATGAGTTGACATTAACATAGTTTGTGTGTGTCCTGAGCAGTTTCTGGACATTTTTACTCACTGTAGGGTTATCTATCATTGCACTTTAAAGTCCTGCACCTCGATAAAAACAGCACATCCATGGCTAGAAGTAGAGAGAACTCAAAAACGTCTTCTGTGCCGTATGCAAAGATTGTATAATAAAAAGCTAAAGTTGAATTTCTTAATTTTTCTTACAAAAATCTGAAAAACTTGGAATCAGCATGTGCAATATTGTTCCAAATGCTTACAGGGAAAATGGTGACTTTACATGCTACAGATATTTTACCACTTACAGTTTTATAACTTCTACAAACTGAAATTTTCACACGACTCTGCACACAGCTCTAGAAACATATGTCACTATGTTAAATGTTTTTTCCAACAACTTGCTGACAAACTGGTCTTCTGTTAGCTGTTTTTGAGCCACGCTGCATTAATTTTATTTTTTTATTGATAAAGTATATGTTATTTTGCTCTCAGTTCCTCTAATTTGTTCCATGGTCGTCTTCTATCCGGTCTCTATAAACACATTGTGTAGTTTCGCCAAATAGTCCTTGAATTTTTGCTCTGTGAGTTTCAGCTGAGTTGCTCATGGCTTCTCAGTTGAACAGAGGGGTGCAGAAATTGATGATCTGGTGCAAACAGTTTATTTTTGACAATTTTCAAATGCAACATGTAGAATAAAGTGAATTTGATGAGATATTAGCTTAGAACTGGTCCAGTTTCCTGGCACGCATATCACACGCTATTACTTCAAGGACTGTTGGCAAGTTGTTGGAAAGTTAAACATGTGACAGTTCTTTGTTTTCAGTTTCTGACTGTTAGAAATGGTGTAATTTGGGTGTTTTTTTAATTTGTATTTAAAAATAAAAAAATAATTACACGCCCTTTTAAACTCTCCTCAGAGTTCTGGGATTGACAGGGTTAATCACTTTGAGCAAAGGAGTCCTCTGACACAAGTAACTGGCAAAAATCCATAGAATTGCAAATAGAGCCTTAATCAAACTTACTGCTTTTGTCAATACACATTTCTTCTTGTTGATTTTATCTTGAATTTCAAAATGTCTGATTTTATTTATTTAGTATTGTAGATTTCAGGGGGTAAATGTCTTGAAAAGCAGTTAATAATTTATATGTATCCTGTGTGCGTGCGTGTGTGTGTGTGTGTGTGTACACCCATTAGGTGGACCTCACCACTCACTGTGGCTTCATGGGAGGCCTTCAGAGAAATCGCAGCACAGGCCAGACCACGCCTTACTACGCCACTTCCACAACCGAAGTCATCTACCACGTCTCCACTCGCATGCCCCACGACCAGGACCACAACCTCACCAAGAAGGTAACACACCGACACTATCTGAGAGGTTTTGATGGCGATACAGACATTCCCAGTGTTCCCATTCCAGCTAATGGCAGGTTGCCTCGTTGCCTGTTTGTTGCTGGCTGGTTTGGAAGAACACGCCTGAACACTGTGACACGTCAAAATTGTGAAAATTGCTTGAAACATGCATGAAAACATACTAAGCCCTTCCCCAAACTGCTGCTGAGTGTATCTGTGTGGTGCAAGAGAGAGTAATTAGTAATAATGAGCACTCTACCTTTTCTTTAGTGAGGGGAGATGTGCAGTTAAAGGAAAGAAGAACTTCCTTCTCTCCTTCCTTTTTACTTCTTTTCCTCTTTTGCCCTCCTTTCTGCCTAAGACTGACATTGCAAATGAGCATAGGTGGAGACACACACACACACACACACACACACACACACACACACACACACACACACCCATCTGTTGTATCAGTGTTTCTACACCAGACCGATGTTTCCAATAATTCTTAGGTGCAATCATGTCTGTGTTTGTGTATGGTGTGGGGTGTGGGCTTGTATCAGTGTCTAGGCAGGCAGGTTTATTGTGTGCGTGTCTGTGTCTCTGTGTGTGTGTGTGCACACCTGTCAACCCTCAGGCACTGGGCGCTCTGCACATGGCCATAATGTCACTTTAATCAGATCATACTTCCTGCTTCTCGGCCTATCACATCGCTTCAGGCTCCTGATTGGATTATCAGCGCCTGGTCCGACACCATCCGTCTCCCTGATCAGCTGATGGCCCCATCAAACACGCATAGTCACATACATACACACACACACGCACACACACACACGCACGTAGACTATAAACCTGTTTAACTTGACACAAACGCACATCCACAAGGGGTTTTATTCACATCAATCTGCACAAATAACCACACAACTATAAATTTGTGTTAATGCTGGACAAAAAGGCACACGCACACACACTTACACATGTTAACAAGCACACACAGGCTTATAGGCTTGCAGACACAGTTTGACAAACGTGTCCACAAAGAGGTTATACTGACAGACACACATGTCCACACTGGCAGACATTTATCATCTAGCCTGCTGCCACACACACACACATACACACACACGCAAACACAGAGTCAGTTTAGTCCATTGCAGGGCATTTGTCCAGGTCTCCCTCTTTGCAGTGTGTTGTGGTCCCATACCACATCTGCTCGAAACACGATTAAAAGGATTAAAGCTGCATTACACCAACTGATTGTGGTATCAGAGATGACATCACTCTGATCTTCATCGTAGAAACATTTTGAAAATAATGATACGGCTCAAACGCACATCAGACAGCAAGACTCCACTCTGCCTTAGACTGTGTCACCTAACTGTTCTAACACCCAAAAATACGGCTTGAAGCTCATAATTCTCTGTCCCCAAATGCAATAATGGAAGAGCCCATCAGTTCTCAGTATCACTCTGAGTTGTATCTTGCCAGCACCTTGAATTGCACAGACAGGGGGAAGTGCATGTAAAAGATTTATTTCAATTAGAACTTGTTAAATATATCAGCTTAATGTATTACTGGTCAACATATATCAGATTATGTATCAGGTCAGGTTAATTAAGCCTATAACTCAATGGAGTCAGGTAAATTCAAGCAGTGTCACAATGGCAAGTGGGTGAGGTCACTTCCAAGCATGATGAATAAGCTTAAAACCTAAAAAGTGAGAAGGACTTTGGGATTTGCTGTCACATTCTCTATTCACACTGAAAATCAAGATCTAGAAGCAAGCGTTTGCTCATCTTCTCTACGGGAGGTTTCTGTCCTTCTTGAGTTCACCTTCGGACACCTGTGTTACCATTTGACAGGCTTCTACCTCAAACTTATGTAAAGGTTGAGCAAGATAAAGAGGATTACATCACATTCATCTGCTAGTCCTGATACACTGTTAAATAGAATGTGTACAGCCTCGTGGGTTAACAAACCCCTTCTCAGTAGGCAGAGAAATCTTGTCAGAAGACAAAACCGAAAAAAACGATTGGAGTTAAAAACACATTTAAAAGGAAATGTCTTCAATGTGTTTGTCTCAGGGCCAAGGCCGAGACTGACGGCCATCTGAAGGTGTGTGACAAACCAGACAAGTAGAGAGACCTCTGTGTGCATGCGCGTGCGCGTGCTGCCAGCCATCAAGGTTAATGACTGAGCTGTCACCAGCCCCGACAGTAGCCCGCTGAGTGAACGTGAACCCCGCACACACACATCACCACACAGTATCACACACGATCCCATCTGTCATCCGGCCCGTACTCCATCTTTCCGGGGCTTCACTCTGTCTTGTTGTCCACTCTCCATCTTCACACACTCACTCCATCACGCCCAGGGCCACCTCCGCTAAGTACACACCCAAAATCAAAAGCCTTGGATGTATGATGGATACAGACTATCCACTGCATTGTGCGAGACCCTCTTTGTGAGTGTGTGTGTGTGTGTGTATTTTGTTGACATTGACTTCGTTTGTGCTGTTTTTACTGCACAAAATCATAATATGAATGTTTATTCTGTTTTGATTCCGGTGTTGTTTTTTTTCCTGCCCTGTTCCTTCTCCGCCTCCTGCCCCTCCAGCTTAGACACCTGGGCAATGACGAAGTCCACATCGTTTGGTCAGAACATTCCAGAGACTACCGCAGAGGAATCATCCCCACTGAGTTTGGAGACGTGCTGATCATCATCTACCCCATGAAGAACCACATGTATTCCATCCATATACTCAAAAAACCAGAGGTATAAACATTATTCATATTGACAACATAAACTTCCCATTTTTGAAATTGTTCCTTATATGTCAGTGTTTCTCTAGAATCCCTCTGAAGCTCTGACATGCCTCTGAAACAGCAGGACATTAAAACTCATGATTAAAACACAATGTGGTAATTAATCCCCCACTGCGCTAATGAGTAATAACTATACATGTCATTTTAGTGGAAATCATTAGCCAATCGGTGTAATCTTTTTCATCACAGTGGCATGACTGTGAATGGCACTAGTGGAACTTTTAGATTGCTTTTCATGAAATTTGGAGCATGAATCCTAAAGACTCGTTAAGTGCTGGTATGAGGTTGATATTTATGGTTTCAGTGAAGTACGTATTACATCTATTGGATGGATTGCCATGAGATCATTTCCCCTTCAGAATGAATTGTAGTAAACGTGTTAATCTCTTAAATTTCATTTTGCATCATTATCAGTTCACATTTGGAACTTGATTTGGGACCAAATACTAGTAAAAATAATTATTTTCCGTCAATCTTAGCTGAGTGTTTAGTAAAATTAAACTAAAATGATGGCCATGCTGACATTGTTCAATATTTGTCTGAAAGTATCACTGTGCACAAGTATACTCTTAGTAAAAATCAGAAAATTGTGAGTGAGACAGACCATTCCTAGCCTGGTCAAAACTGAGGCAGCAGCATCATTATTAGGATGTTTCCTCTGTAGGGATGTTGTCTGCACTGATCTGTGACATGTGCAACCACAATCAGTCACGCCATGCTGACTTGCTGCAAGTGTTTTTTTTAGATGTGCTGCACAAAAAGAGGAACATTCACCTGAACTGCTCATGAAGCTCTGCTAGCCCTGTGATAAACACCTTTTTCCCCCCATGTCCTCTTCACAATAAATGCATCTTGCTGGTTCATCCATGGGAAGTTTGTAATGTGAAGCAGCAAAAGCAAGAAAAGTTTGATTTTTATCAGTAGTAACTTAACACAACACTTTAACAAAAGGCTGAAAAATGCAAGTACATTGTAAGATGTGGTTAATTTTGAAATGTACATTTAGATTTTGACTGCATTTTACACGGGGCTGAAACTGTACTGCAAACCAAAAACATTAAACTAGAAGCTACAAAAGTACTGTGAGCCGAACACAGAGATCCTCCAGTTTCTTCGTCTCTCTCATGTCTGTAGCACAGCAGAGACAGGTGCTGAGAATAGAGGAGGTGACTTACATGATGTGGACATGGTATGGATGCTGCCAAACTGAACCACAGCAGCGTGGCTTGGTGCAGCTACCACCTGCTGTGAGGCTGCAATGCAAATCCATCTCATCACAGTTGGGCACAGCATGGCAGAGCTCGAGCAGGCCAGCTCTGCCCTGGTAGGGGAAGCCCTAGTTGACAGTCAGTGTAATATCCAAGAGTAAATTCAAATAGATCAATCAATGGTCCAGATTAAACAGTTGCATAGTAAGTGACACCATGTTACATTTTTCCATCAACTCCATCCTTTGAAGGCGACTGTGAGATGCAATTGAAAGCTCCAGAAGAAAAACAACTTTAAAGCAGCTATTAGGTTAGGACTTCCTAAATTCAATTTACAATGTAAAACGGTGAAAGCAACAAATCCTCGTACCGGAGAAGTTCGGGATGCAGAACCGGTTGAGTTTTTGACTGCTCATTCACTTAAGCCAATAATCAATTATTAAAACTGTTATCAATCAATTTTCTGTTTCTAAACGGTAAATGGTCTGCCCTTATATAGCGCTTTTCTGCCTTAGTGGTACTCAAATCGCTTTACAATGTGTTTCTTATTCATCCATTCACACACACATTCATACACCAATGACGACAGAGCTGCCATGCAAGGCGCCTTCCTGCCATTGGGAGCAACTTCGGGTTCAGTGTCTTGCCTAATTTTTGGGGGGGTGGTGGGAGTTGATGATGGAGCCTTTACCATTGTGTAAATTTGGAAAGTCTGAAAGTCGAGTCGACCTAAATTTGCAAACATGCACAGTGTTTTGATACAAAATTTCATGTCTCATACCAGACCTCACAGATATTCATCCAGACTGACTAACAATCCTGGGGAGAGTCTTGCCTCAAGTCTTGCTGATCTGGTTAATGTATCAGGCTAAAACACACAGACGTTAATACCACAGCACTGATGGAATAACTCTATTTCAAACTGGAGCTAACACAATAAAATGCTGCCTTTTTCTGTATGACATAGATACCGCAGCACTAATGACATAATCATATTCTCTTTCATTCATTCTACATGGAAAATATTGGATTATCTTAAATCCAAAAAGAAGTTAGATAGATGAGAAGATGTTCCCTGTGTTGTTGTCCTGAAAGCACATGCATTCAGCCATACAGCGCATGGCTTGGAGACCAGATCTACAGATAAACCCAATAAAAAGCCTGACATTAGTCTCTTTGGTGGATTCCACAAGCAAAGTATTGAATTGAATCAGAAAGCCATAGCCTGAATCAAGTATTGTATCATTAAAAAAAATCAGTTGTGTCAATCATTACTTGTCAGACATGGTTCACTAAAACCCAGTGGTTCCCAAAGCTTGTTCTGTTTCATAAATTATTTATTAACTATATAAAATAATTATGAATGATATCTTTAGTCTGTCTAATGCCTGTTTTGTCCTTTGTGCTTTTTTGTTCTCTGTAGGTGCCGTTCTTTGGTCCGCTGTTTGACGGAGCCTTGGTGGATATGAAGATTTTGCCCACGATGGTCAGAGCCACAGCTATCAATGCGAGTCGAGCTCTCAAATCTCTCATTCCCCTGTACCAGAACTTGTATCCTTTGAACCCCTTTGTAAAGAAACAATGAAAAAATAGGATTAAAAGCCGACAGAAGGTAAGTGAAACCCTTTTTTTCCTCCCTGCTTTTCCTCGTTTATTTTTTCCGTTCCATGGTATCAACAGCAACATTGGTAGCATTTTCTCAGTGATGAGATATTTTACCCCATGAAGCTCTTTTTTCCACAAACTGATTAGTATTTCAAAGCCTAAAACCAAAAACCGAAATGAACAGTTTAGGATCTTGAATGTGTAGATTTCAGTGGTCATTTAAATACTTTATGATAATGTTTATGTAATAAAGTGACAACACAACAATTCAATGTTTGTACAGTGAGAATCATGTAGATATTCTGATAATTATGATACACAGTACATATACATACATACACACAGCTATTAAGATTCAAATCCATTGTGCATCATGATAGGGGAGGCGGTCCCATATTCATTCTGCAGCATGAAATCAACTTCAAATGCACAGTCAGAGGCACAAAACACGATCTATGATAAAAACTATGACTTGACAGCGGCAACTGAGATGGCGTAATGAAAAGAATTGGTGCTGATTTAGAGGTAAAGGTAAAAGATAGTTGCAGCAAATATGGATTTGATGTAGGTTTTCTACTAGTTACTGAGCTTTTTATGAAGTTAACTGATAAACAAAAGCTGGTTTCGACATTATTTTGAAAATATCCTCACATTACAGCATTTTCTGTACAATACTATATGGATACAGTAGAAACACATTATAATAACATTTATGCAACAGTTTTGTCCTTGTTGTGACGCATTTCGCCAAATTACTGCTAATTGTTCCCTGTGGGTATGATGCTTTAGTTAGGTAATATTGCTGACATCATGAGTTTTGGTTAGTATGCTACTGACACAATAAGACTTTGAAAGTGGCCTCTTAGTTTGCCCAAGTCAAAACTGTCCTTTGTGTTAATTTCTATTTTTTAGGTGCCTCTTGTGAATTTGTGAGCCACTAAACACTTGCCATTCAAACTGGTTTCAGCAGGTTTACAATACTCTGAAATATACCAATTGTCATTTGCCATCGTCTTGATTTCCATGCTACCATCTCATAGACAGCTCTTGAAAAATAAGTTAGTTGTAAGCTTTGCTCACTACTTTAAATTGTGAGAATGTACCTGTAGTGTTGTGTGGGCTGTTGAAATCCTTGCACATGGTTGTGTGAGCGAGAATGTTGGTTATCGCTCAGCTCAAGGATTAAGAATAGCAAATCAATGTCCAGTGGTGTTTGGCTTTCAGAATATAAGTGCTACTGTGATAGAGCTGTGTTTAGTTGGCTCTGAAGTGCTATATATCAAGTGTGCACGTCTGCAGTGCGCATCCATTCTGAGAAAGTTGGGTTACACATTTAGTGTGTGTTTGTGTGCATGCTTCTGTGTGTGCCGGAGAGAAAGAGAAACAGACAGACAGGTGTGTATACAGCCTGTCTGCTTGATCCGATGTGATGGTAGTTTGGTTGAAAGAAGCCCAGCGGTCAATACTTATCGATGACTCTCCTCTCTAATGCTGTTTCTAAATGAGGGGCTTTGCTCCTTGGTCTCATACACAGACATGCACGCACATCCAGGCAAGTGTCCATGTTCATACACACACTCATGTGGACACGAGCACCTCAGAGGTACAGTGATGCAAGTGCATCCACATAAAGACATGCAGATCCATTAACAGTTGTTTAAACAGCGTGCATTCAGACACACACATATTATGAGGGAACAGCATCCCCTGTTGAGGCAAGTCGACCTACTGAATCATCATTGGAATTTCTTCTAAGCTGCACTTAAAGCAGTTTGATACTGTTCCCCCATCTGTCTGCAAATCTTTTTTCTTTGTACTTCTTCCTCTTATATCCAATTAGTTCAAGTTCATCCGTATGGTGGTAAGACACTACAGTTACACCTGTGATCACAAGAGTTCTTGTTGAAATCCACAACAAAATGACGAGTTGCTTTGAGCATTTGCAGGTCAAGTCATTATACTGGCAAAGATTGAAGCAACCTGGGATCACAGATGCATAAAACCCTTCTGTGTTTCATCAGCAGCATCGTCTACCCAAGCTTTTAGGTAGAAAAAAAATAATTTCCAAAGTGTTATACAGCATTGAACTACCATCAGTGACTGCGCAAGTCAAGGTAAAGATGTCTTGTTGAGTGTTCTTGTAGACAAGTTCTACCAAGACATACGCATTTAGTCTAAAAAAATGTGTATTTTCTTTCACATAAAGCATGTGTGAAGTAGAACTTTGCTAGCAATTTTCTTCTTCACTGCCTTTATTGGCCATTTTTCTTACCACAGTACCACCACCCTGTTTATCAGGAGAATAGTGTGGAGCTGGCAGCATAATTAGAATTATGAATTACACGGCCCTCAAGTCGGTGCATCTTCACACACATACAACATAATAAAAAAAATAGGGACCATAAAAATGTGGCTCTTAAGAGCGGGAAACCAACAGAGCCTTTGCACCATTTTGGTTTGAAAATAGCACTGACCTTAAGAAAAAGGGTAGCAAATACAGGCTAAAGGTGTGTGTACATCAGCCATGGAACTGCTGCTTTCACAAAGATTAAAGAGCCCATGTCATACACATTTACAGGTTTAGAATTACATTTTTTTTGTGCTACTAGAATATGTCTACCTGCTTTAATGTTCAAAAAATGAATTATTTTTGTCAGTGCTGCAGCACCTCTTCATACGCTCTGTCTGAAACGCTTTGTAAGTTTGCAGACCTTTTACATCGAAATCAGCTATATAATACACTACAGGAAAGGGGAAAACCCAAAGAGTTAAATATGGGCTCTTTAAAGTCTTTTATACATCGTATCCACAAGATTGGCATCATTTTAGTCATGCTTCGACCTTTAAGAAAGTGGTGGTAGCTGGAACAGGTAACAATATAATGAACAATATAATATCCCAGACTGTCTCCAATAAAGATACTGTGAACAAATAAGACAAAAACACAAGCGTAACACCCATAAAGTAAATGGAGCAACACAAAATAAACCCACAATAACACTTTACTCAAGTCAAAAGCTCCCTTAGAACAAAAGCCACTCCCTGCTAGACTCAAAGAGAGCGACTGTTAATGCAAAGTTATAAACGTCTAGTCTGATTCAAACTTTTTCAAACAGAAATTGCTGTTTTACACCTATCACATTGTAGTTCTCCTCTTACTGTCCTGTCCTTCCTCTGCTCACTCGTTGTCCTTCATCACCGTTTCCCTCTTCTCTTTGTCCCATCTGTCCTCTACAGTGCTTTGTCCCTCTTTACTCCCAACTTGCCTCTTGTACTCCATCTCTCGCTTCCCTTTCTCCTGTCTTGTCCAATTTTATCTCTCTAAACCATTGTCTTGCCCCATTGTTTCTCTTTCTTTTCCTCTTCCTCTCTTCTCCCTCCCCCCCATCTCCTCTGTTCAGAGATGTGAAATGTGGTGGCGGCGATCTAAGCCAAGAATGTAGAAGGAGCATGGGGAGAGACGGGGAAGTTGAACTTGCCATTTTGCTCTGCAGCGTCCACCCACGAGACAGAGATGCAGAGATTGTTAGGCTCAGTGTGGGCCTGTAGTTCTAACACCCCCCAACTCTATTGTGTTTGTCTGTGTGTGTGTGTGTGTGCGCATATGCACTTTCTTGCACATATGCATGTCTCAGTTTGTGTGTGCATTTTTGTGTGACTTCTGTCATCCTGAATTAGTGTCCAGGGATGTGGAGCCCTGTACGGTTGTGTTTGTGCCTTTTGTTTTTTTCGTGTGAGACTGTGTGTATACCCACTAACCTACTGTATGTATATGCGCGTTTGACCGTGTACACGTGATGACACACATGTGCCACACATGCTTGTTTCGAGGTGTTTGTGTGTGTCTGCGAGTGTCCTGGTGTGTATTGATTGGTGGTAGCAGCAGGTCGATGTCTCTGACAGGCTGAATTACAGTAATCAGTCATTATTGACTCCCCATCTCTCTGCTACACACACGGCTCTCCTCCACTCTTCTGTCTCTCTACCTCTCCCTCCTTTTTTGCCCTCTACTTCTGTCACTGTCTTTCTCCCACCTCTAACTTTCTGGCTCTGTATCTCTGCCTTCACATCCCTTTACGTCTTGTTGTGCTCTGATTCTTTTTTTTCTGCTCCTGTCTTGTATCACTCCGTCTCTCCCGTCATCATTTCCATTTTCCTCCCTAACTTTGTTCCTGTATTGTCTCTCTTGTCTATCTAATTCCCTTATCCTAATGCATCTTCTACTTTAATCTATGTCATATTGTCTGTTTTTCATCTTCTTCAGATTTATTTGCTTAACTATCTTCATTCAGTTTTTCAGAGTTTTTTTTTCCAGTTCCTTGTCTTTTCTTTTCTTCATGATGTAATGACAGTCCTACTTGGAAAAGTTAATGAACATTTAGAAAGGAACAGGACAAGGTAATAGACATCAATATAGGATGGGTAAAATGTGAATGCGTTAGGCTCCCCCTTCACTCCATTTTGATCTCAATTCACATCATACAGACCATTTAAGATTCCTTAGACCTAAAAGTCATCCAAGAAACATTAATTTTAATGAAGACAAGAAGCAGCTCAATGTTTAGGTCTGTATTACGGATTTCAAATTATAGTTAAAACTGTGTCAGTATGAAAAATTCCTATAGCACACTGCTTTGTGATCTCTTTTGTCTATAAGGTGTATTGTATGTCAGGCTAACTTTGTCATGTTTGTGATTTTGTGCCATACCCACGGAGTTAAAAGAGCACAAAGCAGTAGAAATCTGTGGTACTGAACCACAAGAGAGATGGAGCTTTGTAGATAAATGTCATGAATAACATTTACCAGGCATTCCTGGGGATTAGAGCACATGAGGGTTCGATGTCCTTGTGCACGAGTCTCCTCAAGTGCTGCATTAAGCTGTGCGACTGTGTCTGATTCCGAGTGCCGCATTGTAACATCAAGGGGCCTGACTGAGGGGCTGACA